CAATTCAAGTTCACGCAGCTTAATCTGCGTCTCCGCCTCGATTTCAAGTCTGCGGACTCCCAGTCGAAAATCCAAATCCGCTCGACGGACTTCTGCCCGTTCGCGTGTCTCCATCTGGAGTCGCGCTATACGAACCCTCAGTCGCGCATCACCTCCTATAGACTCATCTGAGTCCGGCGAAAAAGGTTCGAAGGGCGGCAAAACAGCTTTGGCTTCAGAACCCTCTACCTCAGCCGTCTCGCTCTGCTCCTCCTCCTCAAGGCGACTATCAGCACCAGGAAAAACTTCCCCACCACCTGCAGGCAACACTAAAACACCAAGTTCAACCAACCTTTGGGATACAGCAAACTTAATCTCTTTTTTAAGCCGCTGCTTCGAAACAGTAACCTGAAAATGAGCAGCAATCCGTAGTAAATCATCTTTCCTACATTTATTTAACTGCTCAACCGTAGGTGCACTCAAAAAGGTGTCTAAATCAAAATCAGCCATTACTCTTATCAGAATCACTAACCATACAATCAACCAGCCCATCCACTAATCACTGCCTCGCGAATTACCACTCTACAAGGAAAGTACTGAACATGGTCATTCCACCACTCACATCAGCAGTAAATAATAACTCGGGAAACAAATAAAATATAAAGTTATCCCGGACGAGCCCCCATTAAATGTTACGATCTTTTAAAGTCTAGGAGATGTTACGCAACATTTGTTTTATTAGCACTGCTGATGGAGGAATACGGTGGAGAGAAAACCATGACAGACTCAACTTGAAGAGAAACAAACTGGATTTTATTGTCACAAAGCCGAAGCCACTAGTTCCAGTTTGGAAAAATGAGTGTGCTATTTACAATGTTTACAAATATTAAATAATAAGGGAAGAGAACCAAAAAGTGGCGCCAAAGAAAAGAACAGAATATAACAAAACAATCCTTATACTACACCTAATCCTAACCAAAGAAAAAGGTGAAAAGAAAACCGAATTCTTCGGTGCATCCGGCACCTAAATAAGCTAACTACTAAAACAAAACATACACAGAGTGGCGCTCACTCCTAACCTAGTGTATCTAACAAATAAACACTACGGGCATTATGTATACCGCGGCATACTGACCTGTCGTTCTCTTTCCCAGAGAGAGAGTCGAATTACAGGACCCCACAGCGTCACACTGGGATACACATTGAAACTATGATCTCTACAACTAAAACATACTGAATATCAAGGTACAGATAAACAAAGCATACAGCACCCAACTCATTCCACTACAAAGAGCCAGACATCACTATATGAATCTCCAGTCACAGGTTTAGTAACCTCACAACGCTACACGAGCTCATGGCCGCTTCCGAGAGCTCGAATGAATGAAAACGCCATCCTTTTGAACCCAGCTGGTCAACTCTGATTGGCTCCCGGGCGCCGCCCCAACGATGAGTGACGTCCCGCTAGGCCAATCACAGCAGCCTGCCAGCCAAGAGTGAGCTAGAAACAGAAACAGATAATGAGCATATACTATCAACACGTGCGAAGTATACCAACGTGCACAGACTAGTGAAAACAAAACAAACCCCCACGTGGAACGTAACAAATGCATTATTCACTTCTGCACATTGTTTATCCGTAACCTTTCTTTTTTTCAGAAAATTGCATTGTGATGCTTATTTATTTAGTGATGTACACTTTTCAGTAATACAGGTATCACTGAAATGTTCTACAAAAAATATGCATAGCATTTTACACTTTTAATTACACATTTTGAATACTGATTAAAACAGCTTTATAATAAACTATTAGTGTAGGGCTAATACATTTCTAATGAGCTGAAATGTTCTTTAATAGGCTACATTAAAATATACTTGAAGTTGTTTCAAAATAATACATTTAATACGCACTTAGTATAGTATAAGCACAATTTAAATATAATTCCTTTTGACCGGGTGAGGGTGCATATATGACACCATATTTAACATCCTGACCGCTTGAGCAGCACAGCGACTGAAAAGTAAACCGTGTAACGAGATTAAAGGTTAAACCATGACAGAAAGATGCATGTGAACAATCCATCACTATTAATCAGTTATAGACAGAGATAAGTGGAGGTTTCTGCAACCTTGGACACATTTACCCTCTGCTTTCATTATACAGTTGATGGCTGACATGAGTTATTTTTTCAAGAAAGCATGCTTTTCAGAAACCCGCCATGCATGACCTCAGATCTGTGCAAGTTAGCAACTCAGATTTACTGAAATGCTGAGAAACAAGCACCGTACATCACCGTCTTAGTTTCTGAGGCATCTCACCTAAGATCACAGATCAATGTTCTCTTAAAAAGACTAGTTTCCTTCCTCGCTCAATGTTTTTCACACTCGAGGCTGTATGTTCACAGGTTTGATGCAACACTTGTTTGCAACACTGCATTCATTTTATCAGTGTGCATGGGTCGTATTTTTGGAAATTAGTAGATCTCAATATTTTGTTTAATTTCGTATTACCACTGACAATATTTGGAATGTATAATAAATGAAAGAGGTTTCTGCAATAGTATTAACTGTGTTTTAAAGGTCTACATTTTATCAGCAATAAAATCAATTTCTTTCCATTTCATACATTTCTACAACTAAGCATGTTCATGCTCTTTTTTTTTTACTGAATACATTTAATTGTTTTCACAATGAACATAATTATGCTGATTTTAAGTAATTTGAATAAACGCTAAAACATAATTATTTAAATGAAATCAAATAGATGCAAATAGTTGTTAATAACCTATGCATTGATTTCTTTGAGTGCAGGAATCTCATTTCATTTATATATGACTGACAAATACATCCATCACATTAAGTTTATTACAGTAATTTATGTTAAAACTATGCAGTCCAAATGGGTGGATTTTATTTGCAATTCAAATGCATGATTCTTGAGGCCTATATATTTTTAGTGTATAATATTTTGATTTGTTTCATCTTTTTAATTGTACATGTTGTGTAATTGAACATGACTTTACCAGTTCTACCACAGTTGCCAATGCCATTTCACAATGATCCCTGAGGTTTTACGAACCCCCCGTTGGGAAACTCTGCTAAAGCGTGTGAAAACTCTCTCAGAGTAATGATTTTGGGATCTGTGTGTGTGTGTGTGTGTGTGTGTGTGTGCGTGTGTGTGTGTGTGTGTGTCACAGCACATAATGTCACCTGTAGACCTAAAGAGTCTGGAAATCTGCAAAACTATCACTAATGATCGTGACAATCTGAGCAAATCAGACCTGAGAGGTTCAGGCATGAAACATATTCTACACAAGCACATAAACGCAATGTATGTTATGTGATAAAGGATGTCTGATTCATTGATGTGTTTTATGTGCATTTTTTGTACAAGTTTCCAGGTTTTACACCTGACTTTCCAACTTTTTGAAACAAGGCGAAATCAGGAACTGCCTACGACATTTGGATCACCAGCAAGTGCAACAAAGCCAAAGTCACATTTCATGATTTATTTTTGCAAAGGCACTCATTACATTTGATGCATATAATGTGATAACCATGACAACAGAGACCATGACTTTATGAGATGTTCACTCCAGCTCACATCACTGTGACGTTTACATCAGCATTACATGATCAACACCATTATTGCATGCTATTTTACCTGTCTCTGTGTGTGTGTGTGTGTGTGTGTGTGTGTGTGTGTGTGTGTGTGTGTGTGTGTGTGTGTGTGTGTGTGTGTGTGTGTGTGTGTGTGTGTGTGTGTGTGTGTGTGTGTCTGTGTGTGTGTGTGTGTGTGTACCAATGCAATGGGTCAGTAATGTTTTACATGTTTTACATCCACACTTGACATTTTACGTTGGAAGACATTGTTCTGTGGCCATAAAATCAATGTGAAGTTAACTCATATCAGGTGATAATATAACAACAAATCAGGCTGTGTTATGGCAATAACGGAATAATTGTGGCTTTTTGTGATTTACAGCGGCTCCATAAAGTATTTGGACAGTTAAGCCTTGCTTTATGAATGTGATCTGCTTGTCTCAAATGCAGCAGAATATGTCAACTAATGAAATTTTTGTCTTTTTTTTTTATTCACTCTTGTTGTCATCAATATGGCTTTGACTCCAGTCATTTTGTTTATCACCAAAGAGGGGATTGATATGTTTGTAGACTTCAGTGTGAGCAAAGCATTTAACGGACTGATTTGAAGTTGTGTAGAAACTGGCATCACAATCAAAAGGTTATTGAGAACGTCTCTCAACCAAATTTGGAGTTGTGTTCAATAAGTTAGTGTTTCGAAAAAGTTCATGATTTTCCTCCGTAAACATCATAGATGAATGATTCATCTGAGCAGCAGAAGATATTCATGCAGGTTTTTTTTTTTTTAAGACATCACGATTTACAGCATAAAAGGCTTTCAGTGATCCATGATCCACCTGAAAACAGCAAAAGCCTTTCAAAAACTGTCCTGTGAAGAGTCCTCATGTTGTAAAGAATATAAATAACTTATTTTAAAGGTACTGTATAGGTCATCCAAAAACTAAACATTCTGACATTATTTACTCACTTTCTTTTTTTGTGGAACAAAAAGGAAGGCAATTTCTGACTAAAACAGATATGTTGCAGTATGTCCAGAGGGATCTTTTTCATATTAATAATAATGTGAAATAAATCATTGTAAGCTCCAAAAAAATGTGTTCTTCGTTGAAATTTCCCCCTTCCCCACAGCTGTCAATCTCATTCAAATAAAATATGGCACGTCACACCAATGTCAAAATCAATGATTAATAAAACGTCATTTGTTCTGGTGTATCTCGTCATCTAAAAATTAGAGGTTTTAGAGGTTTTCAACGTTCACTGATTCAACTTTCACCAATCTGTTCCTCACACAAAGCAGCATACGACTTGACACATGAGTCATATAGACTACTGTTATGGTGCTTTTTTGCAGTGTCATTGAGTAAACAATGACAGAATTTCCCAATTTTTGGTGAACTGTCCCTTTAAGGTGATGTCAGTCTGTATTCCTTGAGCTCTTTTCACATTTTTTTGGCAACTTGTCATTTGTCACAGTGAAAATCAGCTGCGGTTCATCGTAATGAGTCGAGCCACAGCTTACAAAACAGAAAGGCACATTTTCTGACGTCGGTCATTTGCCTTCCCGTGCGTGTCGTCGCCTGCCTAGGGTTGATGCTCTTTCTGCTCGAGTCTTTTATTTCGCTCTTGTTCTTTGGCCTGGGCCGGTGCGAAACCGTTCTGCTGTTTGGGTTCCTCAGGAAAGTGAGGCAGACACGTAAAGCCGGTGTTCGCCTCGGCTATTTTCTCTTCCTCCACCTCCACCTCCTCCTCATCCTCTCTTCTCTCCTCTCCCAGTGTGACATTGCTGCTGTTACTGCTGAGGATTTCGCCCTCCCCGTTTGCATCCTCTGGGATGTTCTTGCGGAGATCTTTACTCCTGTTGCGTTTGGCCAGTTTGGTGAGCGAACCGAAGCGGTTGAGGAAGTTTTCCTCGGAGGAAACCTGCTGACCGCCGCACTCCGCCTTCAGTCGCAGGTTGTTCAGTTTAGTGTTGATGCTCTCCTGCGAGGACGTCTTAAATCGCCCGGCATCCAGACTAGCAAACACAGCCCGTTTTTCGAGCGACAGCATGTCCAGTGAATGCGCGCGCTGCTCCAGACCCAGCCGTCTGCGCTCCATGCTGCGGATGGTGGCCGCCCGCTGAAGTTTGTCGTGGATCTCGCCACTGAGGCGTCGTCGCGTCTCGCGTAACTCCGCTCGAACGTTTGCCTTCCATTCGGCCGCATGGGCCTTAAACTCTCCAACCTGTATTGGATGATAGAGAGCACTGTGAGCGTGACATTTACAAATGATTCAGTGATGTGCTTCACGTGGGCTTAAAGGCCCTTGCACACTGAGTCCGAGATTTTCGGTGTCAAAAAACGGTGTGAATTTTGTCAAAACACCATTCAAACTGCTTGCTACGGATGCGAAAAACGCCGAAAATCGAACCCGATCCAAATTTTTTTATGACGGACGAGGCAGTGTGCAAGCGTGATTGACATAACGTGAGGTCATATTTATTTTTTAACGTGCGAAAATTTCGGACGCGAATTTCGGACTCAGTGTGCAAGGGCCTTTAGAAGCGAGAACGTACCACATTTCTTAAAGCCAATGTAAAACAGCATTTACCATTTAAAGTCACCGTAAAATGGCACTCGCCATAAATTTTACCATTTAAACCCAATGTACAACAGAATTTGCCATAAGTGTTTATCATTTAAAGTAAACTTAAAACAGCGTTTGCCAAAAATATTACAATTTAAAGCCAATGTAAAACATAATTTACCATTTAAAATCAATGTAAAACAGCATTCGCCAAAAATTTACTATTTCAACCCAATGTACAACAGAATTTGCCATAAATTTTGTAATTTAAAGTCAATGTACAACATAATTGACCATTTAAACCCTATGTACAACAGAATTTGCCATGCATTTTTACCATTTTAAGTAAACGTAAAACAGCATTTGCCAAATCATTACAAATTAAAGCCAAAATTTTACTATTTAAAGTCAATTATTTACCATTTAAAATCAATGTATAACAGCATTTACAACATAAAACAGCATTTGCTATATATTTTACCATTTAAAGGGATACTCCACTTTTTTTGGAAATAGGCTCATTTTACAACTCCCCCAGAGTTAAACTGTTGAGTTTTACCGTTTTTGAATCCATTCAACCGATCTCCGGTTCTGGCGGTACCACTTTTAGCATAGCTTAGCATACATAATTGAAGTGGACAAGACCATTAGCATTTCTAAAAAAAAAATGACCAAAGAGTTTCGATATATTTCCTATTTAAAACTTGACTCTTCTGTAGTTACATCGTGCATTTTTTTTTTTAGAAATGCTAATGGTCTTGTCCACTTCAATTATGTATGCTAAGCTATGCTAAAAGTGGTACCGCCAGAACCGGAGATCGGCTGAATGGATTCAAAAACGGTAAAACTCAACAGTTTAACTCTGGGGGAGTTGTAAAATGAGCCTATTTCCAAAAAAAGTGGAGTATCCCTTTAAAGCCAACATTAAACAGAATTTAACCTTTAAAGTCAACTTAAAACAGCATTTGCCATTAGTTGTATCGTTTATGACCTATTTTGCATGTGTTTTATGTGTAGAAAATGTAAATAAGACTTTGCAATGCTAAATTTTATATTGGACATCATTCTAATCTACTATGATATACCTTCAAAACTCATTTTTGTTTGACATTTCATACCTCCTCTTTTGTTTTCTTGGACAGAACCCTGAGCCAGTCTCCAATCATGCTGAGAACCGCTGCGAAATACGCCAGACCCACCAAAATCCAGAACCAGACCAGAGGCTTGTACCATTTCATGTACTCTATTCTGCGATCTCCACCTATAAAATAATCAAACAGATTTTTACTTTTTGTTTTATAGCCTACTGTATATCAACCAAAAGATCAAGAACTTAGTTGAAAGACACGAAATTGCCAGAAAAAGTATTTTGAGAAGGTGTCAGGTGAAATATGACACTAAAATGTAGTAATTTGGCAGATGTTTTTATCTAAAGCATTTTACAGTGTATTTAATATGAATATATGAGTTCACTACACTTTTAAACATGACGGTTCTTTATTGGCATTGACGGTTCCATAAAGAACCTTTCGCATCCATGAAAGATTTCAAATGCACCAAAGGTTTTTCATATTGAAAAAAGGTTCTTTACATTTTTTTAATGTTCTTTACAGTAAGAAAAAAGGCTCTTTTAAGAACTGATCATTAAAAGGATCTTTGGGAACCAAGAATTGTTCTCCTATGGCATTGCAGCAAAAAAACGCCTTTTTGAAACCTTTATATTTTAAGAGTGTAGGAATCAAACCAATGATTTGTGTGTCTCTAGCACCACACTCTACCAGTTGAGCTATAAGAATTAAGCAACCCTTGAGTTTACTATAGGTAAAATGATGTGAAAAGTCCCAATCGGTGCTCATACCTGCTACATAATCTCCAATGCCGACGGTCGTGAGAGTGATGACGACAAAGTATATGGCCTCTAAAGTACTCCACCCCTCGATGTGTTTGAAAATCACAGCTGGGATGGTGACAAATATAATGCAGCCAGCGATGATGAAGAGTATGGTGGAGGTGACGCGGATCTTGGTCTGACTGATTTGCTTGTGTTTTTGCTGTGAATGGCGGCAGAAGAAATTTCAGGTGAATTAACATATTTATAAAACCAATAAGCAGTTGAAAATCCTCATTCAAAAGTAATTCTACTCACCCTGAAAACTTTTTCCACCTTCAAGATGCTCTTCATAAACATGGTCCCTAGTTGATCACCAATCCCGGCCAACAGGAAGCCAAACAGAGGGATGCCAAATATGGCATAAAGGATGCAGAAAATCTTTCCGCCTTCAGTGCTGGGTGCGATGTTTCCATAGCCTGCAGATGTGGGCGGAGAAGACAAGAGGTTATTCAATGGTTCTGATGCAAGCAGCTCTAGTTGACCCCCTGTATTAAATCTGCATTGATTCACAGATACAGAGAGAGACAATTGGTGGGTTTCATCGAGGGAACATGGCAGTAATTATTGATTGTTGAACAAAAGGGAAGTTAAGACAAGGACAAGAGAGGAGATCTGCGCAGAAAGTTGCAGTCAGTTGCATGAAGGTCTGTGCAAATCTCAGTTCCCATTTTAAAGAGCTTTTGCCCTGTTTACACCTGGTATTAAGATGCGGTTTGGTCGATCGGATCAGCTGTGTTTACCCGTTTACACCTGGTGTTTTAATCCGTCTCTTTTGTCCACTTAGTTTCAACCACTTCTGTCATGAGTTCTTCAAGGGGAGGGTCTAAGGTCAGGTAAATGTATGGGTTTTTTCAAAATACAAAATAAGCTTGAGCAATTTTTACATATGAAAGCGACTAGAGCAGCTTTCGTTTCTGCTCTGACAGCCGCAAGACCAGCTGAACACTGTGAGTGTGTGTTAGAAATCAGGAATGGTGAGAAAATGTTTTTTCATCTTCAAACCAAACTTGGGTCTCCCGCTGACAAAGTTTAAATCCCGTCTGGCTAGCGTTTCCCATAATGTTTACTCATTAGGTCAGGAGAGCACATGAGTGTTTACATTATGAAATCAATCCGGTCGAATGCTTTTTCGACTACCTCTGGAACTGATCAAAAGTGGACAAGCTCACAATGTTTTAGACCCCGTTTACACCTGTATTTAGCATCGTCTCCTTGTGATCAGATCGACCAAAATGCATCTTAATACCAGGTGTAAACAGGGCCTTTGAGAAATCAGTATGCATTGTTGGTCAAGGTCAAGTTTACTTTTATTCTCATTCTAGTTTTAGTTTTGATTCATTTTCAGTTAGCAATTTTAGTGCTTCAACATTTAGTTGGCAATGCAACATTTCAAACATTTCAAATATTTTCTCTAACCCAATTTTGTATAGTACCAGTATGTGCATACTAAGTATGAACTTTACTATTTGATTTAGTTTATTTTCTGTATTGAGTTTGAACTATCAGATGTTATATTTTGCGATGTTTGAAGGTTGGGTTATTTCACCGATTGTGGTGATGACGGTCCCAGCGAAGAAGAAAGCGCTGCCGAGATCCCAGTGGCTCGAGTTATAGGACGTGTCTCCAATGGGACTCACTCCAGCGCTGACCGCGTCGACTGCATGCTGGGGAAAGATACATGGAGAAAAAGACTCAAATGGCCATTTTGTAAGCACTACTATTGTAGTAAGTAAACCAGATACTTACAGGGAATCAAACTGCCCATTTCTAGAATTTGTACAAGACACCAGAGGTGTAAAGTCCAGGTTCAGAAAGTAAAAGTTGTTCCAATCACCTGGATTTGCTAATTAGCACAGTTTTTCAGCCAGGAGATTGAACTAATTAGTTAAATCAGCTGGCTGAGTTCATGGGTGGAAAAAACATATGGCAGGACTTTTACTTTCTGACCCATTGCAAGATGCAAATAGAATTCTCTAAATATGAAATTATTGTTTCTGTATTTTGCTTGTTAATGCCATCCAACAATATTACAACAACAACATTTATTTATAGAGCACATTTAAACACAATATTAATTGATCCAAAGTGCTGTTTTTAAAAATGTCCAATGAAAGGGTAGACCACATATGCTAGAGGAGACCAATCCAAAGCTTGGGCCGAGCCACAGAAAAGGCCCGATCACCCTTGTATTTGTAGCAACACCATTTCACAGTTAAGAGCAAGTGATTAGAAGATCTATGCCCTAACAGGACAGTATGGCACAAGAAGATCGCTATACCTTGGTGCACAGCCAGGCAACGCCTTATAAACAACTATAAGGATTTTAAAATCAACCCTGAATTTAACGGGAAGCCAGTGAAGGGATGCTAAAATATGGTCCCTCTTTTTTGACCCAGTCAAAAGTCTTGCGGACGCATTTTGAACAACTTGCAATAGCCTGAAAAAGAAGATGCTTCAACTTTGCGATATATCTCAAATGGATAAAGCTTCCTCTAATAACAGCACTAATTTGTGTAGTGAAGAGTCAAAGATCACTCCAAGATTTTTAATTTGTTTGCGTACACTGTGTAGCGCCTGGACCAATCAGACACACAAATTATTCATTATATTTAATGAATAATCCAGCAAATTCACTATCCCAACAAAGGTCTGTGAGACTGTTGAGAGAGGACCTAATGGGCTTCCAGAGCAGGGGAGGAATTTGCAGGACAACCTAGTAGAATTAAAACCTGTTTTATCCTCATTTAGCTGCAGAAAAGTATTTGTCATCCACCTCTTGATATCATTTACACATTTCAATGACACATCGAATGAAAGCCTTGCTGGAAGGTGAAACTGAGAATCGTCCGCATAACAGTGAAATGAAATGTTTTTTTCTGAAAAATGTGGGCTGAGGGAAGCATTTAAAGGGAAAACAATAAAGGTCCCAAAATGGATCCCTGGGGCACACAACACAAGACAGGCGCAGATGATGAGAAAAAAAATCCTAAATTTACAGAAAAAGTACTATTAGCAAATCATTTGAAAAAGCCACCTCCTCCAAGTCACTTTGCACAATGTCAGCCAAGAACTACGAATATCTAAGAAAATTATTCACAAAAATCCTGATCAGACTTGCTAACTGCCGGATGTGCTGTAAAGCCCCCCGCTTTGGGTTTCTGTGGCTGAAAAACCTGCATTGAAAATCAATGTGCTCCGTCTGTCAGTAATCTGATCAGGCTTTGTGACTGTTCTTAAAGTATTTTAAGGAATAGTATAAATGGGTTATGCTGAGTAAATTTTGTCAATATATCGGTAAGTCCTGAGCAGACTCTGGTCATGTTGTCTTTATGATATTCACTCAAATCTTGCTTTAATCGTAAAGCAGTACAAGATGTTTTAGTACCCAGAAAAAAACATTTTTTTAACAGAAATTAACGATCAGCAATCAATCCATTTAAAACTATTGCAATAAGTCAGATACACTCTTAAATGTAAAGAGCTGGCATCGATGGTTACGTGAAGAACCTTTAAAGTCCCCCTGTGGTGAAAATCAAGCTTTTAATGAAGTTTATAAGTTTTTAATATGCTTTAAGACAAACCATGTGTAAGTTCATAAGTCGACAGCATTGCTGAGTATTTCCTCCTTAAAACTGCAGTGAACCAAAGACAGTCTCAAAAACACGGTTTAAAATCGCTGGTGTTTCTGACGTCACAAACGACCTTGTAACCAATCAGATCAACGTGTGATCGTCAACCAGTGGATCTCTGAGTGAGTGAGTGGAGGCGGGGCTCATTTGCATATTCATAGACCCGCGTATACTAAATGAGGTGACGCAAGGGTGTCGAGTTACATTCAAGCTATTTTAAGGCATGAATAGTTAATACTACAGGGGCATTTTAACATCCATGGAAGCTTTACATCCCATAAAGGGTCTTTATAGTGAAAAAAAAGGTTCTTTAGATTCTTAATACTGGTTATTTTAAGAACTGGTCACTGAAAAATGGTTCTTTAATGCTGCAAACCCGCTCTTTTGAAACCTTTATTTTTTAAGAGTGTAGCAGAGAGAAACACAACGAGACAACATGCTGTCAGCAAGAAAACAATGAAGTCTGAGTAATATTTCTTCTGCTCCGGTAGGATTTGCCAAGTGTCCTGATGGGAAGATTTTTGAGTCAGTCCTGCTGACAGCCAAGAACAACAACACCTGGTCTCGCATGACAGGACAGAGACATGTCAACATGACTGGCATCTAATTCTGGTGAGATTAAATGCGGCTTTAAAGGCTTTTTCAGACATTTTTTTCAAGCCGAATCTGCAACATTAAGATGCTTTACATGCCCTACAAAATGTTTGTTTTGGAACCACATGGTTGGGTTGATATTGCATTGATCAAAACTTTGCTGAAAAGCCTTTGCACACAATTAACTACAGTCCTTCTGTCCTCTGATTGATAGTTTATACTTTTTAGCAAGTATAAACTTGCTTTTAGTGTACAATTTAGTGTAATTGTACAAACATCCATCTTCAGCTTGTTCTTCACGTGTCTTTCTGCAGTGAAAGTAGATATTTATCAAGTAAACGTAAAAATAACTTATTGATATTGTTTGTAATATTTCAACATCAACACTTACTGGACTGAAGCAACTTTTTTAAGGTTTACTTAATTATCGAAACATTATTTTTTTTTGAAAATCATGTTCAAATTTGAGTCTCAAATATGATCATCAGGCTTTTGAGGAAGGTTTATTTGTTCATCTCTCAATCATAATTGTATTGCATTGCATTATCTGTTTTAAAACTACAGAGATTTAAATATCATCTTACTAAGACATATTATTGGCAGATTTAGAGCGACGACTGATATTTATATGAATTTTATGTAAGTAGTCTGCTATATTTGTAATGTGCATTACACGCTTTAAAAATTTCATCTTATTTTTTGTCCATAAATATCAGCATCTGCCTCAAATTTCATATTTTGCTCATTTTGGGCCTCTGAATAAAACCGAGGTGTTTTTCCCTTCATATTCTAACTATATAATACTATGAGCCATAAAAACATGATGTATCAAATATGATACTCAACAAAAAAATACATACGCAGGCTTTCCAGGGTTTGTGATTGTTCTGTTACAGTATGGACCGGTTTGGACACGATCTGTGTGGACGATGAGGACGACTGAAGGCTTTTCTCTCAGGAGATTCTGCCTTTATTGGGCCAAACAATAAATAATTGATTACCTCAGAGCCTATTCCCTAAACACCACGTCGAGGGGTTTGTTTCAATCGTCTTGGCTGGAAATGGAGAATTGATTTTTTTTTTTATTAGAAGATGTATGGCACATTTGAGTCACAAATGACTCTAAGAGGACAGAAATGAAGAAGGATGTAGGCGTGTATGAATGTAAGATCTGATCACTCATGCATGCAGTATTGTCAGGTTTTTGAGTGAAAACTAAAACTAGGTCAGACTGTAGAATGATCATGTGAGCACAAGGGATGATTTAAACATGTAGGACCAGATTTACTAACAGCTTGCTCCAGCGCAAACCCTCTTGTGCCGTTAAAAAACTACTGTGAGGACATTGACTCGCTGAAAATTTTTGCATCTGATATTATTGCACATGTTACGTATTTGTAGCTGTTTCCCTTTCAGACGCACAATTTATGGAAGGAGAGTATCTAAATAAAGCACACAAGCTGATTTACTAAAGTTTGCGTGAGTCAATTTACTGGTATTTGCGCCATTATTTACCGCCCCAAAAAAGCATGTTGTAAACCAGACGCTAATTTGCGCTGCTCCTGGTAGATTGTGTTGGTCTTCATGGAAATGATCCGGCTGCGTCTGTGTTCGTCAGTAGATCACGTGCAGAACTTTACACTTCCATCAGCTTTTTTATGCTAATTTATGCTTCTCTCATGCTAATTAGCCCTGATGTGGTCATGTGACAGAGCTATTTTAGTATTATTGATATACTATTCTTCATTTTAATTTTAGTGAAAGTTTTTGTACTTTTTTATGTGTTTTTGTCATTTTTATTAGTTTTTATTTTCGTCTATATAGTTTTTATTTATTTTATTTTAGTTTTAGATATTTAAGAACTTCAAGTTGAACTAAATGAAAATGAGGAATGTTGCCTTAGCAATTGGCTGAAGTTTTTTTTTTACGTTTTAATTTATTTCCATTTCAAGTTTTTATGGATTTCGGTTTAGCTAACGATAATAACCTTGGTTTTTTGGCATACAACTGTTTGAAAGATTTACACACTGAATACTGCTGCATAATGACTGGCCAACAGTATGGAATTAAAGGACAACTCTGGCGCAAAATGAACCTTTGGTCTAATAACACATTGGTACCGAGTCGACCGTTCTCTGGGATTTGCTTTCATGATAATCGAATGTAAAGAGTTTTATCTCTAAAAACTGTTTAGCTTACACGCTAGTATAGGGCAACACGCTAGCATAATGAGAGTCCCTACAGGCAAACCGGAGCATTGAGAAGTATTGTAAGTGTACAGACAGTTTAATAAGAAGATACTTTATACTTCGCGTATACAGGCAGGAGCCATCTTGGAAAACAGTCTCGACCAGTCGAGCCACGAACGCCGTGCTAAGTGAGCTGGTCGATTGGATTACGTTTGTGAAATCTAATTACATGGAAATGCATGAATTATATCTGTTTATTAAAATATATGGGTGACTAACTACAAGGGAAGAAGGGGTCCCATACTTTCATATGAGATTCCAAGTCACAGTTCAGCTCACTTAGCACGGCGTTCGTGGTTCGGCTGGTCGAGACTGTTTTCCAAGATGGCTCCTGCCTGTATACGCGAAGTATAAAGTATCTTCTTATTAAACTGTCTGTACACTTACAATACTTCTCAATGCTCCGGTTTGCATGTAGGGACCCTCATTATGCTAGCGTGTTGCCCTATATACTAGCGTATAAGCTAAACAGTTTTTAGAGATAAAACTCTTTACATTCGATTATCATGAAAGCAAATCCCACAGAACGGTCGACTCGGTACCAATGTGTTATCACACCATAGGTTTATTTTGCGCCGGAGTTGTCCTTTAAGTATGCAATTTGCTGCAAGTATGCTGGTATTTCAAGCATAACCCCTGAACTGCGATCTGTTTTGATAGTGACCATCTGCGTTGTTATGATAAATCCCTGGACACTCGTTCGCGTTGAATCACTTGCATCTGCGAGCCTTGGATAACCTTGAGATGAAAGTCTAATTTTAGATGATATTGTAATTCTTGATTATATATGGTGACTAAGGCTTTACAATAAAGCTGTTCATGAACAATGAACAATAAAGTTTTCCAGCATGTATTATACACTCTTGAGGGTACAAAAAAAAGGTACAAAAGCTGTCACGGTGGCATTACTCTTCCAAATGGTACTAATATGTACATTTAAAGTACAATACGCATCTTTTAGGGGTATTTAAGGTATAAAGGTTCACCTTTTGAAAAGGTTCTGCCCCAGTGACAGCTTTTGTACCTTTTTTCTGAGGGTTTATTAAATATGTCATCATACATACTAAACTGAACTAAGAATGTTTTCTCAGCCTGTTATATAATGGATAAATAATGATATCTCATCCACTCTTCCAGTAATTCCCTGGTTGGCTGTGTAGGATGTGTTGTGAGAAATCAATGCAATGCTTTAATTGAAGGCAACACATTTCCTTATTATATATATGCAAGAAATGTTATGGAGTGCTGGTGCTTTACACACTTCAGCCTACAGTGAGTTTCTGCTGGCACAAGTGAGAGTTGATAATCCTGCTGATGCCCAGAGGGATTCATGTCTGTCTTGGAGTGACATTTACTGATCAATTAGAGCTCAGCGCCCGCCGGAGCAAACAGCAGAGGAGATGGGGAGGTCGTTGTTGTTATGACTCTCAGCATCGCTGGAAAAGGCTTGTTTGGAGTCTTTAAACATCCAACGGTTAGAGTATCTCCCAGGAAGCCTTTACAAAGAACGTATTTTTAAATACCAATCATTTTGAACGCTTTCTAAATAGATAGATGTAGTATTTTTATGTCTCGGCTTTCACAACCAACTAACTTTGTTAGGGTTAATCTCACAAAAACTGGTAAAGAGTAATTTTTTTTAAAGGTTTTAGGGCCATCAAGCCTTTTTGCATTGTGAAATAGTTTTCATGAGAATTAAGCTTATTTTCTCCCAAAAGGTTAATTATGGTGATGTTAAAAAAGAGCTTTTATTGAAATGATAAATTGTCAAATGTTTTAATACATTATTGTTTTATTTGCTATGCTGCCTTTTTTATTTAAGCTGATTTAAATGTATAAAAAATCATTATATTACAGTATTATTTGGAAATGACCATTTTGAATGTAAATTCGTTTTTAAAAAGAATGTATATATTAAATATAATATAAAAGTGCATATATATACTAATTTTCTTCATATAAAAATTTATTTATAAAAATTGTTTTATTTAAAAATAGAAAATGTATAAAAGGATCATTATTATATATATATATACTTTTATATTATAACTATACTTTTTTTATATTTTATAAAAATATTTCTGAAGGATCATGTGACACTGAAGACGAATGCTGAAAATCCAGCTTTGCATCACATAAATAAATTATATTTGAAAGTATATTAGAATAGAAAACCAATATTTTAAATTGTAATAATATTTCACAATATTACTTTTTCTGTATTTTTTATCAAATAAATGCAGCCTTGGTGAGCAGAAGAGACCTCTTTCAAAAACATAAAAAATAGTAATGTTTCCAAACTTTCGGGTACTGTATATATGTATGTGTGTGTACAGCCTATATACACCCACATATGCAGTATACAGTATATATATACAGTATATATAATTTTTTTTTTTTAGGTATTGTATGAAATATGATCTAGGCATTTTTCCATGTATTATATGATCACTCCTGACTGATCTGTCATGTACACAGACGTGATCTGACCTTGATAAGGTCCTCGAGCTCGGCTGGAGAGACGCAGGGGTTCCTCTTCAGAAACAGGGCCTTCTCCTGAGTGATGCTGTCCTTCTGGTTACTCTCGAAGGGTTGTTCCAGCGCCCGAAACGCCAGCCCGCCGCACACCAGGTACCACACCACCACCACGAACACGGCCAGCACCGTCTTCCACTTCATGACGGAGTGCAGATCCGAGCCGTCCGCTCCCGAGTCCATCCCGGTGAGAGCGCTGGCGGAGCGGGACGAGATGGAGAGGCGCGGGAGAGGGCAGTGAGCGTTCGCTTGGACCTCGCAGCCCGTCGGCTTCTGCATGACCTGAACCAGACTCGACTGAACCGCACCGGACTCAACCTTCTTCACAGGGACGATGTTTGTCTGAACAGCCACTGAGAAAGAGACAGAGATGGACAGAGAAGACATTATTAACCTTTATTTAACCAAGTCACTTAAGAACAAGTTCTTATTTTCAACAACAGCCTGACATGACAGGAGAGTTCAAATCTCCTGAAACACATACAATACACACACATATACATTCATTTAAAACATTTACAAGCTGTGAAAAAAAAAAAACCTCCCTAGTAGTTTTTTAAATGCAGGGATTGAAATAAATGACTCTAATTTCAATCATTCGCACATTCCAATCATTTCAAAATCAAAAGTTGAGCGACCATAAACCGTTTTCTTTCTCAGGCTAATCAAAAGAATGTGACATGCGTCTTATTTGGAATTCTGATGAACATTCTATTGCTTAAATCATATTAGATATTATTATTATCTTAGAGCTCGAAGTTCAGGAGACCTAAAGGAGGTTTCTGTGCGTGGCAGCTCAAATTTTTGCTCTTAAAGGTACAATATGTATGAATTTTGTAATAAAATATCCAAAAATCTCCAAAGATTTTTTATTTCAGAGAAATTCCAATTTTAAATAAGTGGCCGTCCCGGAAAAAAAATTATGCCTGTCAATGACGCAATATCCGCACTATCCTCGGTTTCCGTTCATACTGCCATAGCCATGACGTAACCATGGCGACAGACGTGGACAACTGCGTAGTGCGTAACGTTTAGCGGCACGCAGTTCTTGTTTCTTTTAAACATAGACCATGGCAAGCAGACTTTGGGAAAAACAAGGAGAACTAAAACGAGGATCAACATCAGCGTGGCGTTTTCGAGATGCCGAGAGCTAGCGTCCGCGACTAACTTGGACTCGACAGAGTTTCATGAGTCACGACTCGACAGCTTTATTAGACAGGTGAGCAAATGTACATAAAACAAATCAATGTTATATTACGTTAGCTCAACATGATGAAATGTTAGAATATGGTCAGTATGTTATTCTAATGTTGATCTAGCTCACTGCTAGTTTCGTATAGCAAACGAACTAACACGCAGTATAACATTATAACTTTCAAGACACATTTAAATGCCGTTTAGTGTGATAGTGTAACGTTAGACCAAGTGAAGCAGCGCTGCGTTCCCTCACAAGTTTAATTCGTCTAATAAACTGACCTGTGTGAGTAATCCAGCACTTGCGGGTAGTTCGGTAGAATTAAATGTCCTTATTCCTTTATATCCGCGGGACTCGCGTGTGATATCTGCCTCTTTAGCAATCGCGACCTGCTTCATACCACTGTAATGTTAAAAAACATGAATGTTTGCACTCATCCATAAACATTATTAGATCCATCAGCTTGACAGCAAGTCCCATCATTCAGCTCATCACTGCGTCATCAACCTACGCCTGTGTTATTGTTGGAAACTGCGCCCTCTTGTGGCGAAAAAAACCTACATATTGTGCCTTTAAAGGGGTCATATAATGCCATTTTTGTACAAGCTAATATGATTCTTTAGGGTCTAAATTAAAAGTTTGTAATATACTTTATTAAAAAATTCTCATTAGTATTGTAAGAAAACACTTATTTTACCTGGTCAAAAACAGCTCTGTTTTCAGCACGGCGTTTCAGTGCATATGACTTTAAATGATAATGAGCTTTGCTCACCCCGCCTCTCTGTTCTGTGCATACACGTTTGTAACACACTAACCATAACGCGTTGTTCAGTATAAACGTGGGATTATGAATTATATTGAGAACGTCGTACATAGAAAACATGCCGTAATGTACCCTGAGTGTAAACCTTAGACGCATTCATTGTGAAGCGTGCAGCTAGCGATTTGCAAAGATATAAATATTAATATAAAGGTTCATAAAAACGTTACACTCACTTCAGTTCTTCTGTAGGTTCAGAAGGAACACGAATAGCTGGTACCGATCCTTTTTTCATGAGCAGCTTCTTAGCAAAACCAGCTTTATACTTTATACAGCTTTATACCTCGTTTATAAAGCAGTCTGGTGAGAAATGATTCGCACAAACATGAGAGCATTGACGTTGCTCTTGGGGAATATTCCCTTCGAAAACAAACTCAGCCACTGCGTCTTCAGCGGTTTGGATTTAGGAACATTAAAATGACTGCTGTGTTCGTTATTACACCCAAGAACAGAACACCACAATCGCTTAGACGCCATTCTGCTCATAGACAGTGCTCCAGCCTATCAACAATGACCGCGCCGCGCATACTATGATTGACAGCTGGCTCACGAGCGAGGGCGGGTCTGTGTTGAAACGCTGCTGTCAATCAACAATCGTGGGAGGGGCTTCCGAGCTTGTGATGTCACACGGTCGAACGGCTCGATTTGAGACGGGAAAACATATAAGGAGATTAAAACAAAAACACTGGATGGATTTTTATCATTATATGATGGTTGTGTACAGGCACTGCCAACACACAATTCAGTACAATCAACTTGAAAAAGTGCATGTACCATTATATGACCCCTTTAAAAGACTTTGTGTTTGAGTTCATGTTGAGATCTCCATATTCGGTTTGGATGAGAGAGGAAAAAAAACAACTATATGAGTGTGGATTAACCCGTAACCTCTGACACGCTTGGCAAAAGATCTACCTCTAGACCATTTAAGAATTCAAACAAAATTTGCGGATTGATGCATTTATTTACGGGTTGAGAGAGGCTGCACAGTTTGACCAGTGGGCAATGGTGTGTTGCTAAGAACTTGCAATGTATAACTATTATCAGACCGGCCCTCACGGCCTCGAAACACTACCGGCCCCTCCGGGAAAAGTCCCGACTCACCCGATTGCAAGATCTCTGACTTTTGACTGCACACTTTGGCATCTTGGCAGAACAGTTTGAGATCTTGTTGAGACATTTGAGACATTGTTGAGATTGTATTATATTGTACCTTGTGATATGTTTCACTGTGTATTTCATGAGTGTTATCCAATGTTCATTACAGTTGTAAGACTGGAGAAATAAGAAAATGCCAGGCCATCTAATGTGGAAAAACAGCTTAAAATGATATATTGTAAACTGTTTTAATACATTATAGTATTATACCATCTTTTTTAATTGAAGCTGGTATAATGTTTTAAAAAATCATTGTATTACAGTATTTTTTATAAATGACCATTGAGAATAAAGTTTAAAAAAAAGTATACTTTTGATTATATTATAATATGTATAAATAATATTATAAAAAGTATGGCTGGATGGATAGATAGATAGACAGACAAAAAGATAGATAGATAGATAGATAGATAGATAGATAGATAGATAGATAGATAGATAGATAGATAGATAGATAGATAGATAGATAGATAGATAGATAGATAGATAGATAGATAGATAGAAATATTATATAGTGATTGGTTGATTGATTGATTGATTGATTGATTGATTGATTGATTGATTGATTGATTGTTCAATCGATCGATTGATCTCCATTTAATCTCAATGCTAGAAGAAACAACTGAGATACAGAGAATATTCTTTTTAATTTCTCTGGGTATTCATGACACAAACCGGTGCAGAAACATGCATTCTATTCAGTTCTATTCTGGTATTTTTCATCATGTTAAACAACACAAACAACGCAGTAAAACATGCACTAAAACAGCCAGAGAATGCTGAGGTCTGTGTGGCCGTCGCATGGATGCCAGCCATTAGTGATGTGTGTTACAGAGGCTTTAGATGTTTCTCCTGAGAAGCTTCAATCCAATCGTCTGGTTAAAAGACATCTCTAATTATGACTTTACCACAGTAGAGATGCTTTCCTATACAATAAATATATTCATCTCTTTTTCTAAGGTGATTTTGTATGCCTAGTGTATTGCAACCTTATCACTCATGAACGAGGTGAATGCTTATAACAGACAGATGATATCTGCTAGACGAGCACATTAGCTGTCAGATGGATTTTATAATATGATTTGGAGGGTGTCAGAGCCCTGTGAGAGTAACTGAGGCTTTCACGCGTGCAGTCACCCCGTTTAAAGATTCAGAGCTCCCTTTGTGGGGGACAGTGGGCGGAGCCTGTGAGTCAGAGTGATGTAATGCTCAAACCACCCCATAATTTATGCAGACTCCGCCCCCTCGCCTGCTTCACGACAGTGTCCATCAGTCCCTTTGTAAAAATGAAACAGAAAATGATGCAAGCTTGGGTTTCATCAAACACCACATGGATTAAACTTATCGATTCAATAAACCGAACATACATCTGCATATTTCTCTGTCGATTTTTACAGTGAGGCATTGCCTAATAACCAATAAATGCACTTGAACATCCATAATTTCGGACTCAAGGACGCCTATGTCACTACATCTGCTCAGAGATATAAAACATGTCAGCCCGGACCACACAAATCAATATCCAATAAAGTATAGAAACTTGTTATGGATGTGTCAATCAAAATTACAATGAGTAATCCAATGAATCTAGAAGACAAAAGCCCATATGCTATAAAACACATAGTGATTTAAACTTCTTTTTGAGACTTTTAAATGACTTTGAATGTATATATATATATATATATATATATATATATGTGTGTGTGTGTGTGTGTGTGTGTGTGTGTGTGTGTGTGTGTGTGTGTGTGTGTGTGTGTGTGTGTGTGTGTGAATAGATGCTATGAGTAAGCTAATTATCACTGATTACATGATTGCAACACGGATTATTCCTGGAAACGAACTTCAAATGTTTCCTCAAATCTCAAATGCTCATTTTTCTTAAGCAAAAATCTCATGATTAACCAATACATCATTTTATAAAAAAAAAAATTTAAAACAGTGACAATCTATATCAAACCAAGTTATTTCTCATTGAAAGAGCAGAGGCTGAGTGAAATAACAGACTGACACAACTAACCTTGTTCAGGATCCCAGTTCACCTGTTTCCTTGGATTCTCTAACGGGAATTTCATGATGGTCCAGAAGGGCTTTCCGTATCAAAGTGTCAAATAAAGCTATCCTAACAATATACACACAAACCAGAGACTACAACAGGCTACATTCTCGCTGCTCTCGGAGTGTTTGTTTCTTTAGAATAAGCAAATGGTTCAAAGGCAAGAGGTGATGATGATGATGATGATGATGATGGTGATGATGCTCGAGCACGCCTTACTCTCTCTACTCTCTCCACCCAACCACTCTCATCAGCTCCAGCCTCACATCACTTCGAGGAAAGCGAAACAAAGCGCGAAACATCTGCTGGGAATGGGATTGAATCATGTCGCGAATCTTGCATCGCGCGTAAATCACTTCCCTTTGTTTCAGCAACGCCTCATCCTTTGTGTCAGGATTCCCACTGAGGCTTTTAGTCATGGAGAAGCTGTTCAGTCATTCATGCTCGCTATAATCATGGAGATGTGATATTGAGGTTGACAGATAAGTTGTACTCACTGATCATCGCGTGTTTCGCCCGGTGTGTGTGTGTGTGTGAAGCGCGTGGAGAGCAGGTGTGACTGAGCGCGGGAGGGTTGGACTCACGAGCAGCGAATCAACACTTACAGACAGTTATGAATTATTTATGTCAAGTGTGGGGTGAATTAACTTGATCAATACATAACATCTTCATAATTATATAAAAAAAAATGCCATAATACGGTTACTGTATATATTTATGTAAATATGACAATAATTTTATTATATAATATTTAACATTGCATATTGTCAAATATTGTAATTAATAATATATTATGTTAAATATAATTCTTATGAGCTACCATCTGCATGATTACACTGCACACAGCAGCATTATAATAATAAATACAAAAAATATATATATATATTTTAGTAAAATGTATTTTACATTTTTATTTTATTTTTAAAAATCGAATACATTTTTATATTCACAATGTTACGATATTTAGTAGTCAAATCTCATTTACAGGAAGGATAAATCTTCAGCTGTGGGTTTTATTAAGTTGCTCAAGCCATAAACACCCTCATAATAATTTAAAAACCATAATAGGGTGTATTAATTTCACCCATTATTGTTAGGATGGTGTATATTTATTAATTCTTTAAATATAATAATAACACTATTATAATATAATACTTAACATTTCAGATTGCATTTCATATTATAATTTAAAAAAAAATAGTATTCAATTAGCAGTAGATGTATTACAAATCATATGTACTTTTTCGATGGATTTAAATGTGGAATGTCTATTTGCATGATTAAGTTTTCAATCAGTAAAACATTATAATAAATACATAAATAAATCAAACAAAATATTTTATTAAAATGTAATATGTTTAATAATGTTACATTTTAACAAAATGTAATAAAAATCTAATACATTTTAATTAAAAAAATTGTTATCTTATACATACTTCTGTCAAATCCCAGTTACAGGAAGAATAATTCTTCAACTGTTGGTTTTATTAGGTTGCTCAAGCCATAAAACCCTCATATAAGCATAATAGGGTGTATTCATTTACCCCATATACTGTTACTGTAAGTGCATATTTATTCATTCTTTAAATATGACAATACTATTATACGTAACATTGCACATTGCATTTAATATTATAATTTATACATATTATCATTCAATTAGAGTTATGATTCCCCTGTGTTTTATGTTTTAGGACTTTAATTTTTATATTGTTTTGTATTGCTGTGCCTGTGTTCTCGTCTTGTGGTTTGTTCCTGTAATGTTTTTGTCTCCATAGTAACCCTTTTTAGTCTCTATGGTTACAAATAATCACCTTCACCTGTTCCTTGTTATACCCTTGTGTTTCAGGCTGAATCTGAAATCGCCCCTTACCCTCAAATAGGGCATTATTTGAGGACACCATAGTGGACGTTATTGAGTGCATTTATTCAATCCCACAATGCACCCCAATTATACAATGTACCCTCAACGGCTGTCCGAATTCGCTCACAAGTGAACTGTATTGGTGGACTAACAGATAGTGAATGAGGGTTTACGGCGGCGAAAGTTTAGTTTGTCACTTTCCTTGTTCAACCTGTTTGATCATCATCATCATCACCATCATCATCGGATTTATGTTTCCTATGTTGGATTATCTTGTGTGCTTTTGGATTAAATACTGCTTGCAAATATCCTCGATAATTAGCAATATTAATTTTCATTAATTTCCAATCATTAATTTTCTGCATTACAAATCATATATGAATTTATTGATGCAAATCCGGAAGGTCTTTGATATCATTTCACTATTACACTTTCAATCAATAAAACATTATAATAAATAAAAATGAAACGTAAAATTATATTTTGCATTTGATTATTTTGTTATTAAATCTAATGCATTTTAATACCAAATAGGCCTAATATTGTCTAATAATATTGCTGAATTATTGTACAGTTATGCAGTTATGCTCAGCGAGATCATATTTACAGGACGGGGAGTTCTTCATCATTGTTGATGTGTGGTCTGGTCTGTTTGCATTGAGCAGGAAGCACCTGGAGATTCCTCATGAAATATGGATGAAACTGTACTGCACCTCCTTAAGACTCAGCATCTATTAGTAATGATGAGTGTGGCATGAGATCATAAACACATGTGCAGTTTTCCATATGAAATATTTAGTATCAGGTGGACACATTCAAGCTGTTTATTCTGATGCACCTTTACAGATTCATTTATTACTGGAAAATGTTACTTTGAGTGGGAAAGTTTTGTAGGGAGTTTTGAGAAAACGTTGACTTAGCCTGAAAATTTGAACAAGCACAACTTACAGGTCCCGCCCCCTTGCTCTCTGCTGCGCTACAGCCCTCCCTCCACAGCTCGTCCTCCACAGCGGAGCCCGTCGTGAACGCGCAGGCTAGTAAACAGGGCCACCGATAACAGCGGATGAAAAGTTATATGGCACATTCACTAATAGGGACTAAACGTTAACAATATGCTTTACATTGACTATGGCCTGCCCATACTTTGACTACAAACTTGGTCCTTAAATCATTATGTATTTTGCAATAGCCTACATGTAACTTTATAACGTTGCACTCTTTCTATAAGTTATAAATAGCTAGTAAGATAACGTTAATATAACGGTAACTAACGTTACAGTATGTAAGTAATTATTCTAGCGATATATAATGCTAGATAAGGTGTGCTAGTACATTATTTCAGCAACATGACAAGCCAGTGAATTAGCAGGTTTCAATTGTTGCTTAGCAGAGTGTGTGACATTTTATCTACATGTTATGCGGCTAGAGTTTTGACACCGAGTCAATGGGCTCTGTGTAATTCTTTCTTTTTCGCTTGTTTGTCGTCATCAGTCTTTTTCCTTTTACCTCTTTGTTTTATGAGCAGGTGTCACTCGAGAATTGGCCGTTTAGGTTGTTTCTCCGTCATAAGCACAGCTGCAGCACGCCGGCAATCTTGAGTTTGAACGACGGCTCGCGCTCCGGCGCTCGCGCTGTGCAAGAGAGGGGTGTGATCAGCGCGTACACGAGCGTGATTGACACTGCTAAGACATTCCTCCTGGCTCTGTTGGTTGTTTCTGACCGGGAGCGTGTATTTCTTGCAAATTGCAATAGGACCACTGGGAGGAGCCAGAGGAGCTTGATTTTTACACAGATAATCTGTCTCATATTCTACTGTCAGGACATAATGACAGTTTTAACAAATACATTTTTTCAAAAGTTACCTACAGCAGCTTTAAGTGTTTAAAAATAGTCACTAGTCGCAATCTCAAGTCACTAGTCTGTTGTGCACTCAAAATGTTGGAGATTAACCCCTTCATTGCTGTGTGTTTTTTAAGGTATCAAGTGTTTTTTTCCACCCTTCATGATATCCAAATCTACGGTGGCCCAGTAGTGCACAACACAACGAAACATAAACACAACAAAATGAATCCACAACACAACAAAATTAAGCCACAACACAACGAAAATGAGCCACAACGCAACGGAAAATGTACACCACAACGAAATAAAGACGCAACACACATAGTCAGTCTAATGGTGCACAGCTTATTAAGCAATCATGATTTATTTATTTATTTAACATGGATACAAATCGGGTTATTTTGAGAACTTTTTTACCTCACAAGTCATTTAGACATTTGCAACATATAATTCGTTTTACACAAAGTTTCATTTTACGCGATCAATCTTTTTTGCAGTTTCTGACTCTGTTGTTTTCGCTTGCAAATTGCTGTTCAAAGGCTTGCAATACTTTTGGCCGTATTTGTGCGGAAAAAAACGTGCCAAAAGTGTAAGCGTGGAAAAATGGAAGTCAGAAGAATACAGATCCTATTTATTTTGTGAAAGCATGAAGCTGCAGTTTCACAATACATGCATTACATTTAAGAATAACAGTAAAATGCAGCAAATATTTTTTCCTTACACTTGAAAGGCGATTTACACCTTTACAAGGTTCTTCTCTTGCTCACGCAAATGTTATTTACGCTTGCAATCTTATGTAGACTTTCACAAATCTTACCCTGCACCTGCGATTCTTTATGGCATCATATTACCTTCACATATGAGTTTCTTTCTTCTGCTGAACACAAAAGAAGATATTTGAACGAATGTCAGCAACCAAGCAGTTGATTTCCATTCAGAGGAACCCATTGACTTTCATGGTATGGAGGGGGGAAAAGACTTTGGAGGTCAACGGGGTCCATCAACTGTTCGGTTGACGACATATTCTTCAAAATATATATGTTTTGTGTTCAGCAGAAGAAAGAAATTAATTCGGATTTGGAACAACTTGAGGGCGAGTGAATGATGACAGAATTTTCATTTTTGGTTGAACTGTCCCTTTAAGAGATTTATTCTTGGCGTCAGGCGCGCGCATAGCAACCAACATGGCGACGGTGAAGCTTCACGGTAGCGAGGACAGATTAGCTGGCAGCTAACAGCTAGCAAAACAGCTGTGAAAGATGATAACTGTGAAAATAAGTGTATGGAGTATTTTTGATATGTCTGTATTACCTCATGCGTTTATATGAACGTTTAACGTGATGATTTCTGGTGAAACACGAGTATTTTGAGTATGAGACTCCAGCCAGAGTTTTTCATCATGGACACTAAACCAGGTAACGTTAACGTTAAATTATAATTAGCCTAGAAAAAGTATAATTATCTGGCCAAACACAGACGCTTATAAACTCTTTATTTATGTTTATAGCATGTCATTTTAAGAG